TTTTTGATACCGGGGATTGAACTCAGGTCCTTGAGCTTGCAAGGCAGGCCACCGAACCGCTGAGCTAAATCCCTGGCCCTATAGTAGTTGTTTTACTGGTGAGCTGGATGAAATGCATCTTCAGAATCCTTAACAAAGGGCTCTAGGCATCCAGAACCAATACCAAAAAGAAATCCTGTGGAGGGTTTCTCTGACCTATTTATTTAGAGGTAAACTCAGCCTTGCCAAGCATAAAAAAGATTGGGAAAGCGCACAGCTTTGCCGTGTCACTAGTCTGTATCGTGGGCGGGCACATCCTTACTCACCTGGAAAACTTCTCTGGTTTTTCTTTAGTGTTCCTTTCTCAGCTAACATATTCGATGTAGTTGTACTTTGCACAGACACTAATTAGAGGGCCATCAATATTGGGGTCCAGAGGCTTCCTGACAATGCATCTGTCACCGTGTTGTCTTAATTGGTTTAAGTGTAATTGTCATTAAGCAGCAATATAGTCTTCTGGAGCTCTGGAGAAGAATCAGCCCTTTTTCCTACCTCCATTTAGTTTCCTCTTGCTTATCGTAGCCAGTGTTGTTAAGGGCTTTTAGATCTCATTTAGGTTTTGGTCCAAGTCCCTCTTCCTGACCAGTGCTCTGCAGTTGTGAAGATGTCTGTTTCTTCAGCGTGGGTTCACAAGCATGAAGTCTGGCTCCTGTTGCCATTGTATGACGCTTGCGAGCCTACTACCGACTCATCGTGAACACCTGCTGAAATGCGGAGTTTGTTCTCTGTTCCCTTCAGTAGGGGAGACAGAGTCTGTATTGTACCCTCCGGAGTCCTTTTTCCCCCAGTACTATTAAACCCAGAACCTTCACACTGAGCTGTGCCCCCTGTTTTTTTTACAGCAAAACATTTATGTCATCCTTTTGTGCTTTAGCCTTGAAGAATGGAGTGAATTTAAATGGTTATCTATGGAAATTTTCATGTTTACCAAAACAGTTGAGTTTATTTTAAGTCATAGATAATTATTTTTGGTGGTGGCTATGAAACTCAGGACCTTGTATATGGTAGGCAAGCCTCCTACCACTGAGCTATCCCTAGAGCTGTATTTTAAATAATTTGGAAATAAATGCAGAAAGTCTAATGCATATCAGTGTGTGCATTTGCGGTGTTTAATCATTAGCTGCAGAAGACAGGCAGGGGAAACAGCCATGCTTTTCAAGCCAGTCAGGTTGTTGCCTGTGGAGACCCCTTTCCAGCCACTGTTTTGGGTTTTTTTTAGTGCTGGCTATGATGGAGGTTATGCCTGTGTGATGAGACATCACAGTCAGGTGGAGGAGACATAGTCTATACATCTGGAATGCGGTAACCTGTGGCTGTTTCTTCAGATACAGGATATAGTCAGAGTCAGAGAGGGCTTCATGGAGCAGGGGGCCTGAGCTGGTCAGATTGGACTGTGTCATTGGGTCTCAGTCTGCTGCATATGGACACCACTCATGAGTGGTCCCGTTTTCAGTCAGATTTAGCTGATCTGGGGTGTACTTGGGTATTGGGTGACTCTGCTGTGCCACTGAAGTGGAGCCCCCACGGGTTAGATCTTGAGGACGGAAGGCACTCCAGGCAGGTAGATGATGGAGCTCAGGCTCAGAGCCAGGAGTTTTTGGGAGCTTGACTGGCGGCCAGCTCATGTGAGGAGAGAGGAAACGTGCTGGAGGGAAGGGTGGGAGCTGGTTTGTGAAGAATTTGTAGTAGGCCCTGTAATCAGAGCTTCATTCAATAAGGTATGTAGCGAAGGGACTTCACGGAGCATTTTCTAGTGTCAGGCACCCTTCCATATTGACTCTTCTAGTCCTCAGATACACAGCCATGTGCAAGATCTGGCCCTGGACCCCAACTGATTGTATGTGAGTAGGGAGAGGAACATTTCGGTAATCATCACATAATTGCTGGAAGAGAAATATTCAAGCTGCTAGCAAGGTGGCTCACAGCTGGTACATGGTCTAGCACAGAGATGAAGAAGAAAGGCAGTGTATCCAAGAGAATGACTCAGAAACTGAGGTGTTTGGGAAGGCTGGGCAGAACATGTGCAAGGCTGATGCCAGGTGGGGGCACTCAGAAGCTGGAAGACTCCTCTACTAGGTGTGAGTATTGAGGATCTGTGGGGACGAGGAAAGCAAGAGCTTGGCAATGGTGCATGGTGGCAAAGGTGTTGAAGGGGGTCTTCTCTTTTTGTAGCGATAACCTGGGACTGACGGTGCCACTGACAAAAGGAATTCAGGGACAGGCAGGCTAGCATGGCAGTGAGCTGAAGCTTTTGAAGGAGCACATGCATTTATGTTAGATGTGTGAACTTGCAGTGTGATTGGGACCACTTCCTTTGGGGAAGAAAAGACTCATTCATCAGTCACCTTTTAGATGCTGCCATGTTCACAACGAGTTCATAATTTGTATGTCTTGCTGCCAGGCAGCTCTCAACCACCAATGGTTCATGCGTGGCTGTCCCATGCTGCCCAGTGGTGGTTCAAGCCGGTGGGAATGTGTTAATAGAGCATTGGTCTCTGGAATCCCTGCCGTCCTCTCCTCTTCCCCTTAGATGAGGAATTATCAGTAGCTTGTATCTCACATTTCACTTCTGTCTGGTTAAGAAGTTAAAGCATTTTTCCCTGTTGAGTGGTTTTTGTTGGATTGTCCTCAGAGCCCTTTGTTTAAAGGGGCCTGGATCTTGAGCTACCAACATTCTGACCTCTACACACCACTCCTTCCGCTCTGGCCTCAAGGGAATAGCACAGAGCATCAGGAAGACCACATGTGTAGAGTAATACATAGTTGGTAAGAAATAGACCACATATTCTGGCTGTGTCCTTTCTTTAGCTCTCTGGCATCGTAAATTCTTTCTTTCTTTTTTTCTTTCATGTACCTTTCTCTATTTCTGAAAGACAGTGTGTTCCTTTTCAACTTTGTTTTCTGTGTAAGCTGGTTCCTTTCACTTAGAATTTAACCTTACAAATCTAGTCACAGTCTAGGAATTCAAACATTCAGTGTCTTTGTAGCTAATCAAGTTGTCTTATTCCTGAGGGACAGCCTGAGTCACTTCCGGCATGTCAAGTTGGGCCTGATTGTTTTGGTGCAGTAGGCTAGAGTATGTGCTCTTGTGTGGGCTTCCTTTCTCACTAAAGGGGGTGATTCTGATTGCTTCCCGCAGAGCCTGGGAGCCAGGGCCATATCAACATTTGCCTCTGCCTGTGCATTACCAGGCTGAAGGAGACTCGGCCATGAGCATTGTGTTTACTGGAGGATCAGGGTCAGATAGAGGGGCAGCAGTACACTGTGAGACAGCACATCTCTCCTGGTAACTCTGTAGACCATGTGTGCCCTTCAGCCCTGTCCTGCATGTGGAAAGCTGAGCTCTCCAGGCTTGGGACTCGGTGTGACAGGATAACCTGCAGATGATATAGTACGTGCGTTTACTAGAGTTTGTCGTTTGAGGGGAATGCCACTATAGCTAATAAATGAAGCACTTCTGAATCAGAGCATTTCTAGTTTCTTTAAGAAATCTCACTTGATCGCTTCTCGGCCTTTTGGCTAAGATCAAGTGAAGAAATCTCACTTGAGATTGATCTCCTATAGATGTATCATACATGTATTTGAGTGATTTGAGTGATTACATAGTTTTCAGAGCTTATTTTGGTCACTTCTACAGTGAAACATTAAGGGAGCCATTGCTACAATCTCAGGAAGACCATGAACCTCCTCAGAATCACATGCTTCTCTTTGTGGTATGGGCTCATTTCCAGACCCCCTCTCCCCAAGTTGCTTTACAAGAGGAAATCAACCCTTCGCTTCATTGCTGCAGTGGCAAGAAGCACCCATCTCATCATCTGGCCATCCTGTTGTCCTGGTGGCCTCTCTTGTCTTTGATGGAGAGTCATTTGTGGGAGTGGCAGGCATAGAGCGGAATGAGTTCTCCTGTTTTCTAAGTGGGTAGAGCCAGAGAGTGCCATACATTTCAGCAAGAGCTTTTCACAAGAAGGCAGTGTCTGACTGTTGAAGGTGAGATTTAATTGTTTCAGCAAATCACTTAGTCTTTAGGGACTTTAATCAGTCAGATCTGAAGCATGGTTGAGGTATAAGAAAGCTTGCGCCTGTAAGACATTAGTTCTCAGGATCCCAGCAGCACCTCTCTGTCTTCTTTCTGTGTGGTGTTTGTGTGTGCTGTTGCTTATACTTAATTCTGTTAGTGATCTCTTTAGTGAGAGAACTTAAGGTAACAGATTGGTTCTAGCAGCATAAAAGGAAAGCAAGATTTTGATGCTCAATTTCTTACTATAATTTTCTCATTTGAAATTGTCACTATTGTGCCACAAGAATGTGAACCAGGTTCAGAGCCTTCTGTTATCCAGTTGACATTTTCCCCTTTTGGAGTCACTCATCCAAACAATGCCACAGGGGTGGTTCCTCTCCAAGATTTCACTTCTCTATTGTTTTAGGGCCCTCTTCATTTTCATTTCAGTCCCTTTTTGGAACCAAGTGTGTCCTTTTTTTCCAGATATACATCAGGGGATGTGCGGGTGTGGGACACCCGCACCTGGGACTATGTGGCCCCCTTCCTGGAATCGGAGTTTGAGGAGGATGAGCCTGGAATGCAGCCATACGTCTCCTTTGTGAGAATAAACAGCTCGCTGGCGGTAGCAGCTTATGAGGATGGTAAGTAACTGCAGCCCTCCTCCCTATTAAGGCAAAAAAAGCTTTACAAAAATTAAGCAGCTGCGTCCGGCTCTCCCCTGTAATCCCTCCATACGTACACATGGGCACACACACATATTCTCACACATACAGTCACTCCTGCCTTTATGTGAAGAAGTTGGCCAATAACCCTCAGTGCATTAGTAGGCATTGGAACACGGTACCCATTAAAACTGGTATTTAATTCCTACTGGAACTGTCAGGGTGGGTGCCAGTGCCAGACATGACAAGGCTGGCCAAACCATCTTAAGCAAATAACTTGTTTGGTGTAAAGTATTAAATATACTTGGCCTAATTTTCCTTTAGCCTCTGCTCTGTCCAAAAGGAATAGTGATAATGGGATAGATGTAGGTAATTTATGTCTAATAGAGAAATAGAGAAAGAAAAGTCAGTGCCTGGCACTTAGATACCATATAAGATATGTTGTCTCTGTGGCACTAAGAGGATTCTTTGTGTGTGTGAGCAGCCGTGGGTTTAGCGAACTACGTAAGAGTCTAAAGTTAGTTTCACAGAAATAACAAGACAGCCGACAGTTTACAGCCAACAGAAATAATAATTTCAATGGCCATTCTACCCTATATGCCTACCACTCATGCTGTTAATGTCCATTGTGGAAGGAAGTTTGACTCTCCAGAGCTTTGTGCCCCACTTGCCTGAACAGTCAGACCACAGTGTTTCTGAACATCAGCATTCATGTCATAGCACAGGTGTCCTGCTGCAGAGTCGGGTAAAAGGTGGCTCAGTGGGACAAATCTGAAGTAAAGTAGCTAATGGGGAATCTTATGCCAGTTAAAAATAAAAATTAGAGCTGAAATCTTGAATGTTTTTACTTTATTACTTAGCAGCATGAACTCTATTCCCTTGGTTTGACGTTAGACAGCATTTATACTTTCTGTTCTTCAGCCTATAGAATTAAGCTGCTTCTGTGGTGTGGTTATTAATATTTCATATGTTTTGAGATCCTGGATAACTAGCATAAGAGCAGCCTGAGCATGAAGGTTGTTTTTTCCCAAAAAAAAACTGTATAAAAATTGTACTATTGTTAAGTCAGAATCATGCAGTTTTGGAATTATCTGCAGCTTCCTCCTGCCATACACACACATGAATGTGCACATACATTTTCTTCTGCCAATAGGGAGACTGAGGTTCAAAGGAGCCAGCTGGATAATTTGAGGTTGGAGTCAGTAGTGAATCCAGAACTGACTGGATCTCTCAAGATACGCTACAGCTGTAGTGCTGTTCTTGTAATACCAGACACAAAATCCTCTTGTAGAAATGTGCACCCAGTTTATTTGTACCCCGCATTTGGTACTGAGGATTAAACCCAGGGCATAGGGTATGGTAAGTACTCACTCTACCACTGAGTGACATGCCCAGTTCTGGTTGTGTATTGTTGGTTAGAACTATCTTTGCCTATCTTATCCCTTTTGTTACACAGAAACATCAGTGACAACATAGAAATATGAAGAAATATTTTCTTTGGTAATTGTCCTAATTCAAATACTTGGATTAAAAATTTTGAGAGTTAAAATTCAAACAGCCAACGTGTAAAAGAAAACGGGTCAACAAGTTTAAGTGTTCGCTTCAAATTCCCCGTGGCGGCCCTTTCACATTTTAGACACAGCCTGCTCTGTCTTTATACAGTGCTTTCCTTTACCTTGCTTTTTTCATCTGATGACGTTATCTTAGTGTTTTCTGTTCATACTTACTCTTTTCAGTGCCTGAATAGTATTGCATCATGTGGCGGTGCTGTAGGTCCACTGTTGGTGCAGACTTGACCTGGTCATGATAAATTTGTTCATGGGTGTGCATGGGGTGAATTACTAGTCACTGAGTGTGAAGGGTATGGATGTTTGTTTGGATAAATACTGCCTAACTGACCTTAGGAGGACTTTGCCAGTTCATTGTCTCACTAAAACTATGTAAGAGGGGGCTGGGGATTTAGCTCAGTGGTTCTGCTGCCTGCCTTGCAAGCATAAGAACCCAAATTTGATCCCCAGTACCAAAAAAAAACAACCTATACAAAAGTAACAGTTTTCTCATATATGTCTGATAGGAAAAAATGATATTTCCGTGTTCTTTTGTTTACTTTTGTTAATTTGAAATGTATATGAACATCTTTTGTGTTTTGAGTTGCATATATTTTTTTGTGCGTAAATTGCTTGTTCCTATCTTTCTCCATTTTTCTTTTTCTTTCTTTCTTTTTTTGGTACTGGAGATCGAACTTAGGATCTTGAGCTTGCAAGGCAGGCATAGTGCCACTGACCTAAATACCTGGCCCTCTCCATTTTTCCTTTTGGTGATTTTTTTCTTTTTTCTTTTTTTTTTTTTTGACTGAAAGAAAAGGACTAGGGAAATAACCTGGTCATAAGTATCTCACATGTTTTTTTGTCATTTATTCTTCAGTGGGCTATACGGTTTGTTTTTCTTGAAGGGAATTTTTTGTGTATGTGATTTTCATTTTTAATAAATGAATTAATTTTATTTTGTAATTTAGTAATTTTGACTAATTTCAAAATGACATAAGCAGTTATACTTTGAGAAATTTTGTTTTCATGTACTTTTGCTGAGTTCATTCTAAGATAATTATATTTTTTACTCATATATCGTTCCAGTATTTTGGCATGGTAATTCAAATAAATATGAATATCTATTCTTATTTTCCCTTTTTCTTTTTAACAAAAGGTAGCATTACCTTACATTGCTACTTTGTTCCCCATCTTGGCTTTTTTCGCGTGCTAATGTATATTGAAGATTGTCCATATCTGCGTAGGGAACAGGCCCTCCTTAGAGTTCATTATTTCTATTACAGACAGTGCTGGAGTGAGAAGCTTTGTACAGATGACATTTCATGTGGGTACAAGAAGGGCACTTTCTTGTAGGGATTTTTGGGACAAAGGATAAATGCAAATGGGATTATACTTATTTGTACGCTTACTTCTGGATATTTATCAATTTCATAGGAAATGGTATCTGATTGTAGTTTTGATTTACATTTTTCTTAGTGTGAGAATGATCCAGTCTTTTTCATATGTGTATTTGCTAGTTATAGTTATTTTTTTCTTCTGTTACTGTTAGGACTTTTTTATATTTAAATCTTGATTGATAAAGAGTTGAGTTCATCCTGGATTAGTAGAAAATATGGTCCCAAATACATCTTTTCCAGTATCACATGGGAAAGCTGATCTGAATCAGGCATGGTGACACAAGCCTAGAATCCTAGGTACTTGGGAAGCTGATGCAGGAAGATCACAAGTTCAAGGCCAGCCTGGGTAACTTAGCAAGATGCTGTCTCACAACAGGTGTGGGCTGTAGCTTAGTGGTAGATGCTTGCTGGCCATGTGTGACATCTTGGGTTTGGACCCTGTTGCCACAAGTGATCAGTCAGTGGAGCCCATCTTTGCCTTGCTGGTGGGATGGCTCCTTTGATAAGCTTGCAAATATAAACCTCTTTTGTGTTGGGATTTGCTCTTGGACTCCGTGTTATGTTTCAGTTGTTCTGTCACTGATGTCCAGATCATCCAGTTTTTCAGCTTCATCCTTTCAGCTTTCATGTGACCCTGGGAAGACGCTTTCTTTACTCTGCGGTTAGGTAAACTCCACAGTGCTTCCAAGGGTGAAGTGTCTATGTCAAATTCATTTTGGTGTTAAGGGTCATTTCTCTTATGACAGCTCTCTGTTTTCTTGCTCCTATCTCATGCTGAGCTTGTCTTTCTAGTTTAATCCTGGTTGTTACTATTTCTGTGATTAAACAACTTCCTGTTTTTTCTGCAGACCTCAGGTGGCATTGTCTTTGGTTTCACTTCAGTTTAGCAGATTGACACTATGATATTTATACCAGTGTATTCATGAATAGCTAATTCTGGGCAAAGACACATTCAAATAATGAAACGCACATTTCTTTTTATTGCTCCTTTCCAGGAACAGCAAACTGGCACGTCTTAGGCAAAAACATGGCAAAAGAGAAACTTACCTTGTGGGGTCTGCCATATAAATTTTGTGACTGCCCCACAGAAAAGGAGAGTAAGATCGTAACATGAGTTAATGAGCTTTAGCTCTGTGGTTGTGCCAGAGTGAAGGTCTTGTAGCCATCAGTACCCCTCCGTGGTCTATACCGCATTCTCCATAGAAGGAATCTTACCTAGAAGGGAGATGGGACACTGCTTCAGGAGAAAGCCAGGCATCCCTGTATCCTTTTCCACCTCCTTGCCCTGTAGGAGCGCTGTACACGCACCTGGGGTGTTGAGATTTGGCAAGGTGATCCACAGTTGTGATTTTTTGAATTCCAACCCACTGGCCTCATATTTCTTCTGCCTTGTTTCCGATTGTCAGCACTGGCTGTCCTCCAGTTTGATTTTACCACTAATTGTGTTGCACGTTACCGTACTGAAATGAATCAAATCAAAATGCTTTTCCTGGAGCATTAGATAAAGCAGGCGAAGGTTCTGAGTAATGAGCAGATGCTGCTAATGCAGGGACAGCAGAGACCTTGCCAGGACTCCATCTGCTCCATGCTTGCCTGCCTTTGGCCTTGAGCCATGGCATTAGGGAATGGCAGTGTGCTGCAAACCCACTCCCTGTTCGGTTTGTCTTGAAAACTCACTCTCTGGTGAGAAAGGGGATTATATACTTCTTAGGTGCAAAGAAGTTCTTATTTGTCAGCCTAAGCGGGTAGAGGAGAGACAAGGCCCAGTGAGTATTAGCATGTGGAACCTCGGTAGGCAGCCAACAATCTTCTTTCTGTGGTACACCATCACAAGCAGGGAAAGGTGGCTTATCCACTCCCACCGCACTTGCAGCGCAATTGTCTGAACACACACAGACCCCATTGTCCAGGGCTGAGTCTGCCCCGGTCCCAAGTGACAGTGATTTCTCATTTACTGATATATTAACAATGGGTAGGAATGAATCTCTCCGAGCTTCTTCTTAGCAATAACCAGTAAGACCATGTTTTTGTCAGC